ATGTATGTTGAGGTCCAATTTTGGCAGGTTATGCGTAGTATTTAAAACAGTTAGAAGTCCATTATCAAAGTTTAACTGCAATCTATTTAATTTGCTATATTTGGAGAACTGAATCAGAGGAGATCTCTTTTCAGAAATCGTCACAAGTTTGACAGTCTGACAAATAGAGCGAACATGTTGGCTGTCCATGGATAGTACGAAACAATTTTTTCTGAGTGGAGTCGTATCTTAAACATTTGTAGAAAGAACTAAATACCATTGCCATTCCCTACATGCATTTGTAAGGATAAGCCTCTGTTTGGCCCCCATTATTCCATAAAATTATTCTCTTTCTTATTTTTAATCACATAATTTTTCATATAATAATATTACACGTAAATCAAAAAAAATTCTTCTTTTGTAATCACAGATTCTCCAAAAAAAATACTATTCAAAAAATTATAATTTGAATGATGTGGGCCAAACTGGGGTTAAATAATTGTGAATGTTATGAAGATACGATATTTATGGTTATTTTAATTTCTAATCAAATTATTCTTTTCAGTTGGAGACTTGAACCACTTGATATCTGCCACAATGAGCGGTGTCACTTGCTGCCTTCGCTTCCCTGGGCAGCTGAACTCAGACCTTCGAAAGTTGGCTGTCAATCTTATCCCATTCCCACGACTCCACTTCTTTATGGTTGGTTTTGCTCCACTCACATCTCGTGGGTCACAGCAATATCGTTCCCTCACTGTCCCAGAACTCACCCAACAAATGTGGGATGCTAAGAACATGATGTGTGCTGCTGATCCTCGACATGGTCGATACCTCACGGCATCAGCCGTGTTCCGTGGCAAGATGAGCACAAAGGAGGTTGACGAGCAGATGATCAATGTGCAAAACAAGAATTCATCGTACTTCGTCGAGTGGATTCCAAACAATGTGAAATCTACCGTTTGTGACATACCGCCCACTGGCCTGAAGATGGCTTCGACTTTTATTGGTAACTCCACATCAATCCAGGAGATGTTTAGGAGGGTCAGCGAACAGTTCACTGCCATGTTTCGCAGGAAGGCTTTCCTGCATTGGTACACCGGAGAAGGCATGGACGAGATGGAGTTCACAGAAGCTGAGAGCAACATGAATGATTTAGTGGCTGAGTACCAGCAATATCAGGATGCCACTGCTGATGAGGAGTATGACGAGGAGGAAGAGTATCAAGAGGAGGAAGCCTAATGTGAACCAAGATTTGCTTTTGTTGTATGTTTTTGTTACTTGAGATATTGAAGAACGGGTAGATTTGTGTGTTACTTTGCTATGTCCTTATTCACTGTTTTTGTTATCAAAATATATTTCGTGAATTGTTTTGTGAAATTAGCAAGTGTTGGTTTATGCATTTTACAACTATATCGAATTGTTGCCATCTTTGCTGAATGTGAATTCCTTGATGTATTATGCGCTTGTCTGGTAGGAATTGTGGCCGTAATATTTGACTGCACAAGGTGCATTTTATCAAATTGTCATTATTTACTGAATGAATTTTATTCTGAAGGGGCAAATTGGTAATTTCACCAAATTCAGTAAAAATTAACAGTTGTCTCATTGACGTCTGTATAACAGAAGAAGTCTAAAAATTGATTTCTGTTTGTTTCCAATCAATTGATTTTCTTATCTTGCCAATCAATTCAGCTGTTTTATTTGACTTTTTCTCTCACAATGCATTCAAAGGTTTGAAAAAAAGGTACAAAAAAAAATTATTTTTGACTAACAAACAATGTGAAACAAACAAGAGCTCAGAATGACTAGGCTATATTGGGAGAATGCACGAATACCTGCTGAAATAATAACTACCAGATCTTTTTTGTTTTGAGAAATCTATCATTCAATTTTTTTTCTTTTTAACTCTTAAATCTTTTCCGATTGATATGTTTAGATTCTGTTCAAGGATTAGCGAAAACTTGCAGGCAATTTTATGGATCTCCTTCAAGTTGTGTTTTACAACATTTTTGGAGAAAAAAAATAAATTCTGGAATAGTGATTGATGGAATAATGTATGGTTAAAAAGTAAAGAGAATTTTTGAATTTATGTGTAATATTATTTTATGAAAAATTGCAGCAGAGGTATCAAACCTTTCAGTTATTTGCGGACTTTATCAAATCTTTAATTTGTACCACCTACGGTATCAAACCTTTAAAAAAAAAATCGCACCTCCAGTCCCCATTAATGGTTTCCGTCCGTTTGATCACGAAAATCCTTAGTTGACCCCAGGAATCAAAAAATAGGAGGGATAAAATGGTGACTTGACAATTTTCTCGTCAAATAAATTAAAAAAATAAATTTGCAATCAGTTTCTCCTTCCTGGCTTCAACAGTGCCGGCACGTTGCCGGCACCACCACAGGCACACTGCCGACACCACCACTGGCGCCTCATCCCACCACCACTACCACCGCTGCCGCCTCATCCCACTACTACCACCGTAAATCACAAATGAAGAAAATCGCGTTCGACACCCAAAAATGAAACTTAAATCATGGCCACCACCAACACATCGCCACAGCCGCTACCCATCACCCCACCAAATCCCCACCGTCCATCTCAAACCAGAAAATCATCCACCACCACCGATCTTCTCACCACCATCATCACCAATGTCGATAAGTACCCATTTTCAAACTTCAAACTCAATTCGAAAAATTCGAAAAAAAATCAAAAGATAATGGAAAATTGAATCCCATTGGAGCCAAGCGAACCTTGAGCAAACTTGTACGATCATGGGTAACCATTTAATTGTTCCAATTGTGGTTATGGCTGATTTAATTGCTCCAATTGAGGTTGGGGTAGTTCGACGGATCTTTGTGGCTGCAATTTATAATGCTCGAGTTCCGAGAAATTCTGCCAATGAAGGTGGCGATGGTGGCCGGACTTTGAGGCGGTGATTGTGAGGATGGTGGTGGTGCCTGCGGTGGGTGGGATGGGGATGAGTGGAGTGGGATGAAGAATGGTTTTTGTATATTTATTTTTATTTTTTATAAAATTTATTTAATGAGAAAATTGACAAGTTACCATTTTACCCTTCCTAATTTTTGATTTCTAAGGTCAATTAACTATTTTCGTGGTCAAACGGATAGAAACCGCAATGAGGACTGGAGGTGAGATTTTTTTAAAAGTTTGGTACCGTGGGTGATACAAATTAAAAGTTTGGGCAAAATCTGCAAAAAATTGAAAGGTTTGGTACCTCAGCTGCAATTTTTCCTTATTTTATTGATAGAATGTATGGTTGAAATGAAGAAAGAGAAAAAAAATGAAAAAGAAAATGCGAAGAAAATGAGTATCAAACGGGGGCTCAATAAGTACTTCCAGTATTATGTCAGAAATTTGTAGATTCGAGTTATGTGCCTTTGAGTTTGTAAACAACACGGCCTATGAAGCAAACTAATATGGACAATTTACACAAATACACTTCAAAGTTAGACTATTTTGAAAAATATCCTTTTGTCGTAGATTATATGTTAATTAGTGAATGATTGTTATGCCCTTGTAGTCTTAGATAATATGATTATTGTATTTCTTGTCGCCCTAGTTCTTTCTTATAAATATGGAATTTTGATTTTCAATAAAATATGTCTACAGACTTTTCTACCTTTTTCTCACTTTCTCTTTCTATTTCATAACACGTTATCAGCAAGAAATTCTGGTCATTTGAGTTAGCAAGATTTATTTCTCTTTTAGCCCGCAAAAATATCTTTTTACTTGAGGTAGAAAAAATAATTCTTTTCCTTCAATTAAAAAAAGTCAAGAAGTTTTAGCCAATTGAGTTTACAAAAAAACTTTTCTTTTCTGCTGAAATAAAAGATCAGTATTCTCTTGACTTTGAATTGCATAACAAAACAGTATAGTATTCGAACTAATCATGTCGTTTTAACTGTATATAAATTTATAATAAATAAATATTTGCATAAATGTAATGTTTTTCATTCAATATAAAAGAATATTGTATCACTATTCTTGAAAATGAAACATTTTTTGTTCAATTACTCGTGATATAAGTTTGGGAATGTGATTTCCACAATTTTTTGTGAATGTTCGAAAATTTAGGTGCAATTTTTTTCTACGTGACTTCTTATTTGAGATATTAATTTTCTGTAGTTCTGTTGCTTCAAATAACAAGTTTTCACATAGGTAACTGATGCATTCAAATATTCAATGACTATGAGTAGCACATGCCTTTGTTTAAGTCCACTTTGATGAGATTTTAGTGAAATTATGATTTTTTGGAGAATGTGATGTTAAAAAAGATAAATATCTTGAATTTCCGTATAATATTATTTTATTAAAGAATGTGTGGTTGAAAAAAAAATACATTAAGGGCGTGTTCGGTAGAGATGAAAATTGAATTAAAATTGAAAAATTAGCCGTTATTGTTGATTTTTATTAGATGAGTGAGACCCAATAACAGCTATATTTTCAATTTTAATTGAATTTTAAGTTTAGTCAAACATGTTCTAAAATTAAAATTTAGCCCAAACATGGCATAATTAGAAAATCTTATTTTTATATAATTAGCACATGTTTGAGTCCCATTTTTGGCTAAGAATGTATTTTGAAATATTAGATTGATAGAGAATAGAGGGATAAAAGATAAAGAAAAATTTTAAATTTGCGTTTAATATTATTTTATTGAAAAACGTGTAATATAAAACAAAAGTATTTTGAAAATAATATTAAAATGTAACAAAGTCAAAATCCACTCTTTAAAAAAACCCGCGAAAGCCAGACTTATGGGCACGCCACTAACGTCCACGTCATCTGCAGAAAACTTTTAGTTGCCACGCTCGTGATGAGCAAATCCTGCCACTTCTTGATGCACATGGCGTTGATCCACAATTCTGAACGCCCTTTTCAATGGTGGCGTAAATAAGTAGCGACACATTTTTTTATTTTTATTTTTATAGCTGTGATATCCCTTCATAGCAGAAAATCAGAGAAGTTGAATCAAAGGGGTGCTGTACTTCGATCATGGCAGCCAAATTCCTGTCCCTGGCGTGCATAAGAGATGAGACTGGAGGCTTATCGCCGAAGCCACACTATCCATCAATGCCCAAGTATCCAAAGGGCATAAACGTGTCTTCTGATGAAGAAAAAAGCATGCAAGAATCGGAAGCCAAGGCTTTATTCTCAGTCATCGGCATGTCGTGTTCTGCCTGCGCTGGATCGGTCGAAAAGGCAGTCAAGAGGCTTCCCGGAATCAAAGAGGCGGTGGTTGATGTGTTGAATAACAGAGCCTTGGTCATGTTTCATCCTGCTTTTGTTAATGTAAGCTGTCGCTAAATTTTGCTTTCTGGGTGATGATTTTGAAATTGATTTGTGCGCAGAATTTAATATGGGCTGTCTGTTTTTGCTTTAAATTTTATTTGTTGCTCTCTATTTGTTCATGCTTGCATTCTTGGAGTTGAATTTTTTTTTTTTTTCCATTTTTTAGATTTAAGCCTCCGTTTGTTTCTTATTTTTCATTCATATAATTGAAAAATATGACCGTTATCCATCACATCAAGAGTGCTTTAAATTTGGATTTTGCTAGAATCAGTTAATTGGTTTTCCATGCTAAATCCACCAATTACTGCAAATTCAGCTTCTATGGTAATTATCAAACTTGAAGCTTGCTTCTTCTTCAATCCTATTCTTTTGCTCAATTTATCTTTAAAGTTAGTGTTGTAAAATTAATTAAAAATATTATTTTGGCATTATCTTCTTATCATACTTCATTATGGGTAAGCTATAATATTGTTTAGCTGGTTTAAAAGTCAAACTTTGTAGAAAGTGGGTTTTTGTTTATACAAAAAGTAACTATGAGATCATGTTTGTCAAGATAAAATAACTTAGAAGTAACTTTTGATGAAACTAAAGGTTCGCTGCAGGAACTAGTTGCAATAGATGCCAAATAAAGATAAAAGAGAATCAACCCTATCTAATGTTTATGTTTTTCCACCTTTAAAAAACTTTTGATCTTTCCTTCATGAATAAGCTTCTTATTAAGATCTTTAGTCTGGAATATATAGCTATTATTCCCTCGAGCATCTCACAATTTGGAAATGGACAAGATTTTGTGAACCTTATTGAAGAATAAAGTAAAGAGCTTCACACGGTCACCTTGTTGAACTGAAAGCTGCACTTGAAATCTTTTGGTGTTCTGCATTTATCGGAGAAGGGATTTGTAATTGAGAATTAAAAACAAACAGCAATTTTGAATTTGATCTCTTAAATTCGAGTAAGAAAGTTGTCCAAATTTCATATTTAGCTTCAGACTTGAGGTGCATAGATCCCTCTTAAATATTGGGGAAGCATCGATAAATCGCTGACATGGTGTTGCTGCACTGTGAGATGAAAAAGTCCTTAGTCGAGCCCAATTTATTCATACTAATAAGTAATGAGAAATACTTTTACTTGTGTGTTAAGCATGAAGAGAGAGTACACCTAGTAAATTATGCATTTTCAGATGCATCCACTTCTAGATCAGTGTTCCCAAGACCATTAGGAAAAGCAAATCATCTTGAATTAGAGCTCAAAGCACATAAGTTTAACTCATAACGGATAAAAATCAGTGACTTTATGATTGAAAAGAGATATCACAAGTCTGCGTGACCTGCTCTAGTTGCTTTAGATTTCCAGTAGATATAGTTATACAAATGAACGAGGGAAGTGACAAAATTCATGTAGCTGTTCTCAAATTTATGCTTAGTTTTTTTAATTGTTGTAGAGCTGTTTGCGTGAAACCCGTAAGCGTACGGGATCGTTGTACAAGTAATAAGATTTGTGAGTTGAGAGTATCATTGATGTTTAATTTGTAGTTCAATAGCCACTATTAAATTCAAAGTGTGGTGACATGAAAAGAGTTGTGATTTGTATGCTATTTATTCTGATTTTACTCTAAGAAAGCTATAAAAAGTGATTAAATCTAATGTGAATACTTGTATTTGATTCATGTATCTCCTTATTCCATCTATTTTAATTCTCAATAATATGCATTTTTTATATGTTAAATGCTCTTTTCCAAGATATATTAACCTATGACTAACACGGGATGATCTTATTCATAGTCTGAATTCATATAAGATTGCATGTGTGAGAGAGATTATTTCTAATTATAACTACATATGTCAATTTTATTGCGTCTTAGACTCATTGTGAGTATTCTTACACTATAACAAGCAAGAAACTACTTAATTGGTGATTAAGTAATAAATAGTGCAATGGGTATGTAAAATCAATCAAACAATAACACGAAATTCCTAAATTAAAGTATTGAATTGAAATAAATGAAAATAGGGTTCAAATATTCATCAACTACAATTGAAAAACCTAGACAATCATTCTAATTATAAACTATACAAGAAATATTGGAAAAACATCATACATAATGAAGAAATAATGAAGTGGAAAAGTCCACTTTCTTGACTTTAATTTTTCAAAGGGATGAATATTTTTCAATAATCTTGTGTAATCCGCCTTGATTTTGATGCTTAGCCTCGTTCTTCGCTTCCAAAATACATAAAATATGTGATTTTTAGGTCTAAGGGAGGTTGTGGATGTTCTCGACGTATTAAGTCTTACATAAAATATTGCATACCAAAATAAGGTGGAACCGTGGAACAAAATAAGGAAATTTTTTTTTTCTTCGGGAATGAACCGTGCGTACACATGGTTCAATTTGAGTGTACACATAGTTCATCCAATTTAATTTCAGTCAACCCAAATAAGGTTTGAGTCTACACATGGCCTCGGGGCCTATGCTTATGCATGGTATTGCTATTTTTGGACCAAAATGCATTTTGGTCCTCAGATCTTCTCAAGTGTGTATTTTGATCATTTTTGACAATTTTTTCATCCCGTTAGCTTCTCTTCACCTCCAATTGACCATTGGCATTTTTGAATCACCGTCTTGTTCTTCATTTTTCTTCAAATTTTTTTGTTCTTTCTTCCAATTCTCCAAGCAATCATCGAGTTTTACCTATTAAACAAAACATAACACAAATTGGCCATATTTTGTCAAAAGAACATTAAAATACTATAATTTAAGGCTCCGATAAGTGTAGAAAATACAATTATCAATAGCCATTGAATGTATGAAGGGAGAACAACAGCAAATGCGAAGCCTAAAATGTTCTATGCAATAATTCAGTTATCAAGTTGGAACATGAGCAATAATATGGAATGAAATTTCTGTCTCACCAAGAATGAATTGTTATGTCATGATGTGCAGGAGGAAACAATCCGCGAGACAATTGAAGATGTAGGATTTGAAGCCAAACTGATTAAAGAAGAGATGAGTGAAAGATCCAATCAAGTGTGCCGGATTCACATAAAAGGAATGACTTGCACTTCTTGTTCGACAACTGTTGAATCTGTTTTGCAAGCCATACCTGGTGTGCGAAAAGCACAAGTTGCTTTAGCAACTGAAGAAGCTGAAGTCCATTATGATCCTAATATCTTGAGCTACACTAGAATCTTGGAAGCCGTAGAAGATACTAGCTTTGAAGCCATACTTATCAGCTCTGGTGAGCATAGTAGCAAAATACAACTGCTAGTTGATGGAGTACTCGATGAAAATTCCGTGAGAATAATTGAAATTTCTCTTCAAGCCCTTCCAGGAGTTCAAGAAATAGATATCAATCTAGAGCTAAAAATGTTGGCAGTATCTTACAAACCAGACGTAACAGGGCCTAGAACTTTTATCAATGTAATTGAGTCTACTGGTTCAGGACGCTTCAAGGCAACAATATTTCCTGAAGGAGGAGGAAGAGAAGCACATCGACAAGAGGAAATCAAACAATATTACAGGTCTTTCTGTTGGAGTCTGATTTTTACTATCCCGGTTTTCTTAATGTCCATGGTCTTTATGTATATTCCTGGTATTAAGCACCTTCTAGATAGTAAGGCTGTCAACATGCTCAGCATTGGAGAGATTTTGAGGTGGATATTATCTACTCCAGTGCAGTTTATTACTGGTCGACGATTCTATACTGGTGCTTACAAAGCGTTACGCAATGGCTCTGCAAATATGGATGTTTTGATTGCCCTGGGAACAAATGCTGCCTATTTTTATTCAGTCTATTCAGTGCTGAGAGCAGCTACTTCTCCTAATTTTCAGTCAACTGATTTCTTTGAGACCAGTGCAATGCTCATATCGTTCATTCTACTTGGAAAGTATCTTGAGGTCTTGACCAAGGGAAAGACATCCGAAGCCATTGCGAAGCTCATGAACTTGGCTCCCGAGACTGCAACCTTGTTAACCCTGGACAGTATAGGAAATGTAATAAGTGAGGAAGAAATAGATAGTCGACTGATACAAAAGAATGACATCATTAAGATCATTCCTGGTGCAAAAGTAGCTTGTGATGGATTTGTCATCTGGGGACAAAGTCATGTAAACGAGAGCATGATAACTGGAGAATCCAGGCCAGTGGCGAAAAGGAAGGGTGACACTGTGATTGGAGGAACTGTGAATGAGAATGGGCTATTACACATTAACGCAACAAGGGTTGGATCAGAGAGCGCTCTTTCACAAATCGTTCGACTAGTTGAATCAGCCCAAATGGCCAAAGCTCCTGTTCAGAAATTTGCTGATCGTATTTCCAAATTCTTCGTGCCTCTTGTAAGTGTACAATTAATTTATATATTCAAATCTATTTATCACAAATCCACCAATAATGACACTTTTCTTGGTACTTGTTGACAGTTGGAATGCTCTTTCTTATTTTCAGGTTATAATTCTTTCATTTGCAACTTGGCTTGCCTGGTTTTTGGCCGGAAAGTTGAATGGTTATCCCAAATCCTGGATTCCTTCTTCTATGGATAGCTTTCAGCTTGCACTGCAATTTGGAATTTCGGTCATGGTCATAGCCTGCCCATGCGCACTTGGCCTTGCTACTCCAACAGCTGTTATGGTTGGTACTGGAGTTGGTGCTTCTCAAGGTGTCCTGATTAAAGGTGGTCAGGCATTAGAAAGAACTCATAAGGTTAGAATCTGACACTGTTTTTCTGCTGAGGATTGGATTGAAAACAAACAGTGCATGGAGTTATTAATCCCAAAGAGGAACACCCACCATATTTTCACCAAAATCATTCGACTTGAAGACATTGTCTATTGACTCTGTATACGACTATATCTTTTGCAGGTGAACTGCATTGTTTTTGACAAGACAGGGACTCTTACAATTGGCAAGCCAGTGATTGTCAGCACAAGGTTCTTAAAAAATATGGTACTTCGAGAATTCTATGAACTGGTTGCTGCTGCTGAGGTAATCTTCCTTCTCAGAACTTTCTAGGAGAGACATGCACTCATTAGGCCAGCGAGTTACAACTTCGGTGCTAAAACCCTAATATTTTCTCAGGTTTTATGCTTTTAGTTAACCTTAAAAATGTGCTTATTGATCTTCCATTTTAAGGAAACCAAATTTTATTGATATTATCCAGAGATTCATGTAGTCTGATAGCATTATGCTATTAAATTTGTTATTTTAGGTGTCCGCACATTCTTAGGTTGTAGGTCCCATCCCCCAACAAAGAGAAGAGTGACATTCTTTGTTGATGAATAGTGTTCTATGAAGAATTATAAGAAGAAACTTTAACCTGTACTGATTCGTACTTATTACTAATTTCACATAAATAATCTATGCTGGCTAATTTTTCTTAACTTCATGACCACCCCTATTGATCATTACCCTCTTGCGTAAATTTAATAACCGTTGACATTTAAAATTATATGCATTTTAACTTTTCAGGTGAACAGCGAACACCCCTTAGCCAAGGCCGTTGTTGAGTATGCCAAAAAGTTCAGACAAGAGGAAGAGAACCCTGTCTGGCCCGAAGCCCAGGACTTTGAATCAATCACTGGTCAAGGTGTGAGGGCTGTTGTGCGAAACAAGGAAGTCCTCGTGGGAAACAAGAGGCTTATGTTGGAGAGAAATGTTGCTATTTCAATTGATGCTGAAGAAATATTAGCAGAAACTGAAGGATTGGCCCAAACTGGGATTCTTGTAGCGATCGATAAGGAGTTGATTGGAATTCTTGCCATATCCGATCCACTGAAGCCAGGGGCTCGTGAAGTCATTTCCATTCTCAAGTCTATGAAAGTCAAGAGTATTGTAGTGACTGGTGACAATTGGGGAACTGCAAAATCTATTGCCAAGGAAGTCGGGATAGATACTGTAATCGCTGAAGCTGAACCTGAGCATAAAGCAGAGAAAGTTAAAGAACTACAGGTAGATTATCATGCTCGATTTTGGTAATGTGCACAATATTCGTAGCATTCTTGTAAATTATTCCTCATTTTACAATTTCTATATACAGGCTGAAGGCAATATTGTGGCAATGGTGGGAGATGGAATAAATGATTCACCTGCACTTGTAGCTGCAGATGTTGGAATGGCAATCGGCGCAGGCACTGACATTGCAATCGAGGCAGCTGACATTGTTCTAATGAAGAGTAATTTAGAGGATGTTATAACTGCCATAGACCTTTCAAGAACAACTTTTTTCAGAATCCGTCTTAACTACGTTTGGGCATTGGGTTACAATATCCTTGGAATTCCAATAGCTGCTGGGACCCTTTTTCCGTCCACTGGATTCCGCTTACCACCATGGATTGCTGGAGCAGCAATGGCCGCCTCCTCCGTGAGTGTTGTTTGCTGCTCTCTTTTGTTGAAGAATTACAAAAGGCCAAAGAAGCTGGATGCGCTTGAGATAAGAGAAATAACTGTCGAGTAGTTATTTAGCCTGATAGTTATGAATCATGTAAAAATCCATGTAGAACGGTTGTTGGAACTTCCAGTAGATAATGGTATGCTTCAAACGGAGTGGTGAAAAATGATTAACGTAGTCGACACTGTACCTGCTGACTACAGGAAATAAGTTTGTTTTTTTGTTGTTGTTGGGGAATGTTGTATCAAAAGGTAGAATTTCCACAATTAGGAACTTGATGAATTCAGTATTTTCATTGGTCTAAACCAGTCACAGGCAAGTTATAAGTTGATTGGCCAAACTTAAAATGTTTAGTTATAAATAAACAATTAATTCCGTAAAAGTTGAAAATAAGTTTCTTCTTGGGACACGATCGCTTAGGAAGTTAATCAATATATATATGCATCATTTTGGTGGGCATATAAAAAGCATGTATACTCTATACATACATACGTGGTTCATTCAGGTGGAAGATTGCCCGCACAAAAAATATAATGTACGAACTAAGCATTTATTCTTATTTTCGATAAAAATGAAAAAACATGCTCGCACAAGACAAAAATCATTTATATATTAGAATAATGTTATTTAGTATCAGTCTACCGAAACATAAATTTATATGATATATGCGATAAATTCAATTAAAAGTAAAATTACGTGATTCATTTCATCGAATCTTTCATTTAACGACATTTGGTGCCGTCTAAACTAATACAGTGATGCTAATTTGCATTAGTTTAGGTATATTATTGCAATAATATCAAAAAAGTAAGTGCATTCGCCACGAAATGATCTGCACCGTCGATAGGACATGGTACTCCGTCATGGCATAGCATCTATTCGTCACGTGTAACTTAGCGTCTTCAGAAAGCATTTTAACATTCAGGATTCATCCGTAAAATCAAATTCGAGTAACTTTACTGCTTATTTCTTCGATTTTTGTAAGCCAATTGAAAGAGGTCTATATTTTATTGGGTTTCCTCTCTTATTAATTCAACGAAGAGTTTTTTGTGGGGTTTGATATCAGATTACGTAATGGCAAGCCAACCCCAATCAGTGCACGAATTCACTGTCAAGGTCTTAAGTTTTCTTTTCTTTCCTTCTTTCTTTTGTATTGTTAATCGTTTAGATAAAGATCATGTATGTTTTTACATATGCGAATATGCAGATTTTTTGAAGTGTGCTCTTGATGTTTAGGTAGGGGATTGACAGTACAAGCTCTCGAATTTTCAAAAATTTAATTGTCAATCTTGTAGGTATAGATATTTGCTTCTATGAAGATTTGTTTGTGCTTGTACATTTCACAAACTTCATTTGCCTGTGTAGAATCTTTATATGCTCTACTATCATGTTAAATATTATCATTTGAAACTTCAGGACGTTGGATTGATATTTGGCAATCTTTTGTTGAATGGTTTTATTCGTTTCTTGATTTTCTTTGCATACAACTTTGTTTGGATAGTGTTGAAATTCTTGTTTACCATGGATGAATGATGCCGTTTAAAGGGTGAGCATGTAATTCACCATAGTAACAAGTGCTTCAAGAGAAACATAAACGGGAATAGTTTTATGTTATGTTTGGTAGAGATGATTGCATAGTACCTGGCAATATTAAGTTAGAAAAATAAGTTAAAATCTTGTTCATTGTACTATCTAGTTCTTTCAATTACATGATTTATATGTATGCAAGTCTGTTTAAAGTTACACGGGCTCTTATTGTATTGAGGCGCACATGATAAAATACTAACCCCATGTTGGGTTTTATATGCCCACGTGATGAATATTTAAAAACTCTATGATCTCAGGATGTTAAAGGGAACGATGTTGATCTCAGCATTTACAAGGGAAAAGTTCTACTGATTGTCAATGTTGCATCAATGTGGTATATGGTGGCTTCTTTTGAGTACTTTGTTTCCTTCTTGCTTTGAAGAATCATAGAATGTTAAGCTCCAAATAATAAAATGAAGATTCTGGTATTTGGTTGATGTTTTGAATATTTTATGTTGTGGAATAAAATAATAAAATATTCACATGTCATGACAAAGAACCGCTTACAATAGTAAAGACTAATATCAATGTATCCTCTCACGTTTGTAAATACGAGTTTGTATACATGCTTTGGAGCATAGCATCAAGACTTGGATGCACATATTGGAATTTGTATAACTATAAGCATTGGTTCGGATATGAATTTTGCTTAAAACAAACTATAACCTCGTTAGTCACGTCTAGTGATTTTCAGGAAAAATAAGATGTTTCTCAATTGACACGCTGCTTTCTATCACTGTCTGATGAGACTATTCAAAGTTTTTTTGCCAACATAACTCATACATAAGATTGTCAATAGATTTGTATATGTTTCACCTTCTCATTGTTAATCATTTTCTGAAGTGAGGTATATTTTTATTTGTTCCCTTTGTAATGAAATCTAAGACAATCCATATGGAATATGTTGCAAGTTATCAGTATCTTGCTGGACAATTTCTGCAATCCTGTAATTTCAATAACCTGCTACACTTTTTAAAAGAAGAATACCTATCAATTTTATATCCTGTCTTCTGCAGTGGCCTTGCTAATTCAAATTACACCGAGTTGACAGAAATATATCAGAAGCACAAGGATCAAGGTATCCTAAAGTCACGGTTTATTGAATTTGACAATATACGTACTCATTTATAGTGATCGTTTTCCTTATGTTTCTAGGTGTCTTTATAGTTTTCATGTAATTTCACTGTTTCTATTCTTTAATTTTCCCATGTTTACGGTTTTCTACTTTGACTTGGTATAAGTAATTTAGATAACTTCTTAAGGCTAACAAATGATAGACTAAGAGTTGGATTGTTTTTATTTATTTTCTTTTCTTTATTATTGTTTTTCATTTTTTTTTACTTTTTTTTTTTTGGATTGGGGGGAGGAGGTGGTTGAAGGTACCAAGTATGGTAAAGGCCTTTTCATCTGAAATTTTTATATCATTCATTCATTATTTGCCTACTGCAAAGGTTTGGAGATATTGGCATTTCCTTGTAATCAGTTTGGATCTCAAGAACCTGGCACCAATGAAGAGATTCTGCAGTTTGTTTGCACCCGCTTTAAGGCTGAGTATCCTGTATTTGACAAGGTAAGAGATACAGAGGGAACTTTTTACAAAATTTCGGTAAATTAAGTTTTTATTGATGGCGAAGTAATCTGAACCATGGTGAACTGCTTTCATATTGTTTTTTCATTAGCGAGTATTAGCATGGCGGAGCCAATATTTTATTCTAGTGGGGGGCATAATTTAACTCATAGTAAAAAAATTTGTAACAAGACCATAAAACAAAGATATTAAAAATGCTACAATATTTTCTTTGGATGCATACAGTTGTTCCCCATAGATTTTCGTACAAAAATATTTTTATCATGAATATTCTTTCTCAAATATACTCGACCATATAATCATTCGTCTATTCATGTCCAAATCAATTGCACAATCGATTCTTCATAGTGCTCATAGAAGAAAACACTATCTCAACAATCAATAACAACGGCGAAAAAATTAAAAGCTTTTAAAATTAATAAGTATACCCTTTTCACGTGAACCAACTCGATCATCAAAACAAGTATAATGTATTGAAATTAAAATTTAACTTGTACAAATTTATATTAAAAAATTCCAAAGATTGGCATTTGATAGAAGTTAAAAATGTTTCAAGGGGTAAATTAGCAAAGTGGGTATTTAGAGTATGAGACTTGAGGAGGTGGGGGCTTGGGGGGGATCTGATTATAAGTAATCAAATTTTACTTTGGGGGAACTAAATCCGATGGCATTTTTCTAAGCACTGCATGATGGGTGGGTAGGGATTGTTCAAACCTAATGTATTTCCAACCTCACATGGCTCTGCCACGAATTATTGAAGTGCTTGTGTTGAATATTAGAATGCAGTTTCCGTCATTGTTTGCATTTTATAGGTCACCCTTGTGGTATGTTTAGATTGGATACTTGACAATATCAAGAAAAGGAGGTTAAATTTAATGTGTAGCATTGTCCGTCGAATTCTACATATCAAACATCTACTTATGTATAACGGCTCAAGAATGCAGTAGGTCTAGGTTTTTTTGACTGCATTGTATGCATAAATTAGGTGTTAGTAATTTGATTTGTTTTGGAATGGGGAAATTAAAGCTTGATATTCTTTATTTTACTTTTCCCATGCATCTTATAAAGATGTGATTTTCTTTTGTTGATTCAGGTTGATGTAAATGGTTCCAATGCTGCGCCAATATACAAATACCTGAAGTCAAGCAAAGGTGGGATTTTTGGGGATAGTATCAAGTGGAACTTCTCCAAGTTCCTTGTTGACAAAGACGGCCATGTTGTCGACCGCTATGCTCCCACCACATCTCCTCTTAGCATCGAGGTAAAGCGTTTATGCTTTGACATGGCAATCTCAAGTCTATGTAATGGTTGTGTATGTTTTTAACAATATGGAGCCTAATTATACCGTTCAAAAAATTTTCATCGAAACTGCAAATTTTATTATTTTTTTCTTTTATAGGGGGTATATTTGACATTCATATATCTTTACTGGGTCGCCTCATTTTTCTGCCTGATACGAAAGAATTTGAGACTGTTTTGCTTAGAGATAAAACAGAGAAAGAAGGAGGAAGACCCTATAATCTCATTCTTCATTATATAATGAAAAATCGCATTGAAAGCACTATAAATTTGTGTTTGCACGCGTCTGTTTTTCAGAGTGTTTACTATTCCTCTCGAAATTGGAATTATGGCTTAATCCGTAAACGTGTAATAAGACAACTGAGTATGATTCCTTCACTTGTTTGCAGAAGGATATAAAGAAGCTGCTGGAAAAGGTGTAGTAACGGCTATGGCTGTCTTTTTCTGAACTGCATTTGCTAATAAACATCCTAATGAGGATTCTTTGGTTCTGTTTGAGTATTTACATATAGTTTGGAACGAAACTCGTTTACAAGTTGCTCTTGGTGTACTGTTATGAGAGGTTTTTTTTGTCTAATATCATATTTGTGTATATCCTGCAATTCTCTTTCGATTAGTCTGGTAAATAATTAATTTTACTCGTATGTAATATATATTCCGTTGTGATATGTCTTGTGGATAACGAAGACATTTGCACTCAATCTTTAGATGTGCGAGTCAAGCTGGGAAACTCAACATATCGATAGTTTGGTTTAGGTTTCATCCCATTGCACTGATCGGGGACGTGATTGAGGGTGTCGAAGACCAAAAAGTTAAAACAGATTGAATCCAAACTGAAATTTTTTTCCCTCATCATTTGTGAGGAAGATGAATGCAGACTTTTGAAATATTAAGAAAGTATAAAATTAGTGAAATAGGCTATTTTTCAATTTTTCTTCAATTTGGTCATCAAAAAAATTTCATAGTCTCTATTCGGTATTCATGTGAGATTTTTTCAACTTGTGTGAGAAATTAACTTGTTAAAGAGAATCAGTTTGTGTGAAATCATTTCATTTAGAAGTTTAAATCGTCAAAAAGGTAAAACTGTAACTGGAAAAAAAAAAAAGATTTGAAAAGTAATATAGTTTGGTTTGATTTAGAATATTTTTCATAGTGTTTTAAATGATTATGTTTACGTACAAATTAAAGGAAAATGTCGGATGTACCGAATGGGGGTACCGAATGGTGTACCCCCCTCTCACAATGTGTGCATGGCTCGTGTGTGTTTAAAAATGGCGGCTTGTGGTCCCCACCTCCTAATGTAAGTGAGGTGTAAAAGATTATGTAAAAAAATTATGTACATGTAGCATAACCCTAAATCAAAATCGCTAATTGCTAATTATTATTCTTTTTTCCTTTTTTCTTTTTGTCAAACATAAATTTGGACCATTATTGGTATTACGTCAATCATTGCATTAAATGTCGTAATAAATTTAAATTAGTCATTTAATTTTACATTTCATCAAGCGTCATGTTTGACATCCATTAAATTATAATTCTTTTTTTCTCAAATTCATTTTCAATTTCACATTTATTCAATAAAATATTTTATACATAAATTTAACCACGCATTCTTGAAAAAAATCACATTTCCAAAACTCATTTTTAAAAAAAAATCCACTTTAAAATACACGTGTAAATATGTAATTGGTTAATTAAGCACCTTCTTTAAAGATCAATAATGCTGGCTGTACAATGGCAAAAACCTCGCTCCATATAGTCTGCTATTTCATTTCAAGAATTTAAATCGATCTTCCATTAACGAATCCGTGAAAACCGAATTTTTTTCGCTTTTCTTTACTTTTAACTGAGAAGAAATCAGAATGGCGACTGAATCAGAGAAAGGCCCAGCATCAGTCTTTGACTTGACTGTTAAGGTACGTTGAGAGGATATAGATAGAGAGCACTTTAGTTTAAGAACGACATTTCTGCTATTTATGTTTCGATTCTGGGTTTAATTTTAGCTTCAGCTAGTTTGGTACGAGGAGAAAAAACACGAAGTTAAAATTGTGTTCAATAATGTTAATTATATTATCTTTATGTATTAACTATTGATGCCATGCCGAGTAAATGAACTCCACTTTGTCTCAGCTTCTTCAAACCCCCAATTTCCAATGCTCAATTTTCAAATTTGGTGTCTATAATGCCTGACATTTCAATTATATCTTCAGTCCCATTTTTGCTTGTTCCCCCCCTTATTAGCACATTCAGCCAAGTGGAAAACGACTTCACAAAATATTAGAACCATAGCCATAGGAAAATGAGCTCACTTAAGTACTCTTAAAATTGTACTAATTCGGGTTGATTGAACAAAAAAACCACCAAACCAAAACTGGAACTGTTGGTGTGAGTCCACTTGGACTTGTCAACATTTTGGTTTTGAACCGAAGGTTTGGATAGTTAAAAACTGAATCGAATTGTAAAATATTTTTATGGTTGAACTTTATCATGCTATCTTTATTATTGTTGAACTTTGTATTATTTTCATTGCTTTAAGCTTGTATTGAGACCAACATAATATATTGTAATGTTAAGAGTTTAGAAAGTTCGAATTCTAGGTAGTGTTGAGATATAAACCAATATAATTATGTTTTAACTTGTTTAAAAGGCGTTACCTTTACGTCCCTAGGAAAACTATGGTTTGTAACTAAATCGAATTGCCAAAAATGGTTTGGTTTGGTTTGAAAAGTGAAGTGGTTTGATTTGATTTGGAATTTTTCCAAACCGTTTAAAATTGTTTGGGTTAAAAATAGACCAAAAACCATCCAAACCGAACGTTGTTTACCTCTAATTGGACTTTGTTTGGGATGAAAGAACCTTGGGTTCTTGAAGGTTCATATTTGGAAAATTATTTGCAATTGGCGAAGCTAAGGAGTAAGTCAAATTTACTGTTTTAAGTAAATTTTGTTTTGAAATATTTTTGGACAAGTTAGCTTTTCGTTATAAGAAAAGGAAGAAAGGTTGCTTATCTTGCCAACAAAAAACATATTTCATTTTAGAACTTAATTATTTTTGTCATATATAAACTTACTTATTAATAATTCTTTTAGGCCTAGCCAAACCCGCGTAATGTATGATAACTAACTCCTGTGCGCGCACATATACGCACATGATTACATGCATTGAATACATCTGTATGTGCTAGCTTTGATGTTAATGAAGTCTGACATATGCTTATTTATTTGTTTGATGGTGTAATGTTCATCACTTGCAGGATGCTAAAGGAAACAATGTGGATCTTAGCATGTATAAAGGAAAAATCCTACTGATTGTCAATGTTGCTTCTAAATGGTATAATGTGGTTTTTTTTATCTTTCAGATTTTTTTGCTCTACAAATTTGTTTGCTAATTGTGCCATTCTGCGAAAATTTAAGTGTTGCTTGGGAAACATGGATGTCATCTAAAAATATGATGCTATCTTTCCCTTTGGAATTTTCATACGAATTTATTCATTAAATCATACTTTGTCTGTCATTGACCTTTTCTTTTATCTTTCATGTTCTCATTAAATCACTACAGTGGGATGACCAACTCAAATTACACTGAGCTAAATCAACTATATGAAAAGTACAAAGATCAAGGTATGTGTTTCAGGCACAAACAGGTTACGTTTTTTTTTCAGGCACATTTATAACTCTTGACATAAAATGAGACTGTGTAAACAGCTGTCCCCTGTTTTTTCACAATTCATTTGTGAAGCATGTTTGGCTAATCTTGAAAAGTTTACTTATAAGTGAATAAATAAGTTTGGGTTTTACTTAATTTTAAGCTTAGCAAAACATGTTCTAAGTTCACTCTTGAGTGCTAGAACAACTTTTTCCCTTTTCTCTAGTTGTCTAGTATTTACATTTTAATGACATCAGATTTGGCATCTTCTGGTGCAATGCCTGAACTATTTATCAGATGTAGAAGTATCAATTCGGAGTAATTTATTTTTTGCAAATAATGCATTTCTATTTTTTTTTTCTTTGTTAAACGACAATGTTGAAGACGAACTCTCATTTTGTCTTTAACATAGGGCTGGAGATTCTGGCATTTCCATGCAATCAGTTTGGTGAAGAAGAACCAGGAAGCAATGAACAGATTGTAGACTTTGTCTGCAGCCGATTTAAGTCTGAATTTCCCGTCTTTGGTAAGGTAAATCCAAATGTAACCATGAATTAGTTTACTGAATCACAATACACCAGTTGTTTTTTAGCTGCTGCTTTACGATCATCTCCATATTAAGCTTTAGATTAAAGAGAACATAATGTTAATAATATGTTAGTAAATGTTACGCAAGTTCTTTAGGTATGTTATTTTCTTGAGACAGACGATACATTTTTTCCCTTCTTATTGAGGCTAAGGTTAATAGCTGCCTTTGGCCCTGGGTTTTGTATATGCCTGATGAAGGTCTAAGGAAGTTTACATCCAATTCATGAATGCCCTTTTGTTTCTTTATTCTTATTGTTTGCTTGGAGAGTTTTCTTCTTTAGATTTGGGATTTCTCTTTTCCTTTTGAAGAAAAAACCAACAGACTTGTTGAGATTCAACAAGAATTCACGAATGTTTTCGCCCCGAGAAGAATTTATTACGCTTGCCAGCCCCCACGTCACCCGTGGTTGAGAATTTTCAAGTTGGCAACAGAACTCATTTTATTGGATTGTGGCTTTAAGATGATGAAACCGTGCTGTTCTTATGTTGAAGCTTGCTAAAAACTGATGGACTGTTCTACTATTCAAAGGCTCTCAGCAAAATAAGCACGTTATCTGATAGGATATATTATTTTAGTATGGCATTTTCTTGATTATGCTTCACTGTCTATCTTGTATTAGATTGAAGTGAATGGGGATAATGCTGCTCCACTTTACAAGTTCTTGAAGCTGGGAAAGTGGGGAATTTTTGGAGACGATATTCAATGGAACTTTGCTAAGTTCTTGGTTGATAAGAATGGACAGGCCGTTGATCGTTATTATCCCACCACGTCCCCTGTCACCATTGAGGTATAAGACACTTGAAATCTCATAATTATATTTGCATTTTCATCTTTTTAATATGTCCTTTTGCTTCCATATGAGATTTTCAGAATTTGTTTATATTACGAATATGCATTATATACAGTTAGTTATATATCTCCCCTTGTGATCTTATTGCAGAGAGATGTGAGGAAGCTTTTGGGGCTATCTTGAATGCTATGATATTAAGGATTCAGGGAACGTGTTGACATCGTGGAACTTCTGATTCTGTCTTGTGTTAGATATGAGTGATCGCTACTTTTTCCATTTTGCTTTTCTTTCAGTAAATGGCGGATAGACAGTGTAGATTTAAATTCCGGACAGGAAAATGAGGCTTATGACTGGCCAAGAAAGCCAATTGTAAGTTTGCAGCAGTAAGATTTCTGTAAGCTTGTGATAGATTTTGCTTCAAACTAATGTTAAGCCCGCGCTTGGTTTTGTTAATAATCAGATTTTAATAAAAATTAATGAAATATATGACTTAAATATTGATAAAAGTTGTAAATTCCATGAAATGTGTGGTTAAAAATAAGTTTAGAAAAAATTGGGACCAAACAGGAGCGTCACATGGAGTTATATTTAATCTAGTCGACAGTTTCAAAGAGAAATCCCACAAATTTACCAAGAGAACTCAGTTCAATTTGAAGACGTCAGCACACCTGCTACAACTATCAATGGCGTCTTCACTTTCAGACAAATATAAGCCTCTATGGTTGCTAGTAGGGGTGGACGTGTGTTGGGTTGAGTCGGTTTTCCCCCCAACCCAAACCCAACCCACCACGATCGGTTTGATATAATTTCAACCCAACCCAACCCAAATACATGTTGAAACCCAACCCAACCCAATCAAATGTCGGTCGGGTTGGGTTGGGTTGGATTGATTTGGACAAAACATAATTTATTACCATATATTTCAAATAAAACCAATATGTCATGCAAATAAGATTAATATTTAAGAAGTTAACTTTTTATTGAATAGAGGTGCATTGCCAGTTTCTTTTCCTCTCTGAATCCCACATGGATGCAACTAGCCAGAAGGATATTACTAGTAGTTTTAAAAACTATTACATGCATTCAGCATACCAATGGTGCACAACTTAAATGTGAGCATGTCTAAGTAGCTTACTAATGTAGCAGTGTAGCACATTCTTCTGCCAGACCAGGTCCAGCTGCAGCATGCAAACAAGGACTGCTGTGCACTTCAGATAATTTTGCACTATATGTCTTAGAGAGTGCACAGATGCAAGTAGTGATTTGCAGCACCTTAGTTGTTTTATACTTCCTTTTCATATGATAAGCATAAGTTTATTAATCAATTGATGTAGGTGCATACATTAAAACATATAAGAAAAACATGTTAAAAACTATACATTGATTCGGGGGAGAGGAGGGGAGCAGTCAAGTCTTCATAAACACATATGTCCAGAAAACTAAGATTTTGCATGAATCTTGAAAAATAAACACTATAAAGCAATTGTTATATGGAAAAGTACACTTAAAACATGTTGGAGAACGAACAAAGCCTAGAGATCACAATAATTGTATAGATTCAATTACCTTCACTCTGCCTTACTTTTGGTTAAATAGGTATGGCTTTGAGATATTCCACGAATTTTAAGTGCACCACAATGTAGATTCGATGTTTGAATTCAGAAGCAGATAGGTGAGAACCAGTTAACCTAACCTTCACAGAAGAATCTCAAACACCCACTTGGATAAAATGAAAATGGCTTCAGAACACCATAAAGAATAAATAAAAAAAGCCTTTGCCAATGCGATTGACTGGCGAACCAGGAAATTGAAACATAGTGTACCAATAAATCCCATAAGTACTCTACCCAATAAATTGAAACAATGAAATCCCAAATATACTCAAAGAAATACACAGACAAAGGAAGAAAACTTACCTCTGAAAATATGAAGAATCTCGAACCAGGAAGAAATCGAACCACTGAAATTGACTGGAGAGGCGACTGGCGAGCGTGAAGGCGCCGGTGATTGACTGGCGAGATTTGGCAGGAGGGTGGAGAGGAGACTGGGCGATTTGGCTGGAGGCTGGAGAGGGACTGGGCGTCTGTGCGAATGGAGATTAGGGATTTGGTTTTCAATTTAACGTCATTTTTTTTAATGCAATCGGGTTGGTTCGGGTTGGGTCATATCGGGTTTGGGTTGTTAAACCGCAACCCGACCCGACCCGACCACCTAACCCGAAACCCGCCCAAAAAATGCAAAAAATCGACCCGAACCGGTCGGTTTGGGTCGGGTCGGTCGGTTTGGTCGGGTCGGTCGGTTTTTTGCCCACCCCTAATTAAAAGTAGCGGAGATAGGGGTGGGCTGGGGCCCACCCNGTTTTGTTAATAATCAGATTTTAATAAAAATTAATGAAATATATGACTTAAATATTGATAAAAGTTGTAAATTCCATGAAATGTGTGGTTAAAAATAAGTTTAGAAAAAATTGGGACCAAACAGGAGCGTCACATGGAGTTATATTTAATCTAATCGACAGTTTCAAAGAGAAATCCCACAAATTTACCAAGAGAACCCAGTTCAATTTGAAGACGTCAGCACACCTGCTACAACTATCAATGGCGTCTTCACTTTCAGACAAATATAAGCCTCTGTGGTTGCTAGTCAAGAACCTAGTAATGAAGTTTTATTACAGAATTGTTAGCAGTTCACAGTTGGATAATCCTTCGGCATTTTTCATTTACAGCTACACATAAACAAACGAGCACTGCTATATGTATAGAGGGGGTGGTTTGGTTTACATATACTCACACATGGTGGGGGGGGGGGCGTAATTTTTTTTATTTTTAATTACAGTGGGGTCTACCCGCTGTGAGAGGGTGTAAAACCATGTAAACCTCATTTCTGTACATTGGGATTTATTCTAAACAAATTTCTGTGAGTTTATGCAATCGTCAAGTCAATGTCTGTCTGGGATTTTCTCAGATCTTGCTGTGAAACTGGAGGCCAAATGCTTGTTACGGAATTTTGGGCAAGAGTTAGATCAGTAGTGGTAATTGGTATCGTCAACTCAACAGACAGGCCAGCAGCATTATTTTCATCTTCTAAGTTCAACCCTGTTCTATTTTTTGGCCTAGAAAATGGAAAATGAGTGGGTTAGCTTCACCAGCATGCATTCATCCAGATGCTTCAAACACTCTCCCTGCTTCCGTCCCCCCAAGAAGCATTAACATGGACACGGAACGACAAGACATGGATATCCACGCTTTATTTTTCAGAGAACTAGGTAAAATACTTTAAAATTATGAATTTTTACATTCAGAGCTTAAAATTACTTCGTTAAAATTTTCTAGTGAATGAAACTAAACAGAAACATCATTCCTAAGAATAATAGGATTTCCAAGCAGATGATGCTATTTGTTTAATGCAAAATAGAAAGGAAAATGGTTAGTTCCAGTTGTTGAAGTGGCTACTTTTGAAGTGAGAGAAAGAAAAGCAACGACGGTTTAAGGGCTACTCGCCCTACTGTTCATGGTTTCCGAAAGCCCCGAATATGGCATAATCCGCTGGATTTTTTCCCGAAAGTCATCGACCCTTAGCGGTCGAGAAACAACATTGATGAAGGCGTGCAGGTGCACTATTCTATGCGGTGGGGAGAATTTCCATAAATTTTGCATTAGTCACTCAATGATGGAACTTCGCTTATTTCCCAAAAATGATGGACAACAATAGGCAATAATTGATGAAACATGCTGATACACGGATTTGGCAGCAAGATACAAAGTGATGAACCGGATGAACTATACAACCAAGCGATCAATACGACCAAGAACATGGGCTGCATAAATAGGATTTCCAACTCTACAAAATAGAAAAGGTAAAGTAAACAAATCAATACTAGCACTGGGCTTGCTGCAATGAGCCTGCGCGCCCCCTATTGCAGCACCAATGATATGCCCATCAGAACTACAGACGGAGATACTGATACCCCCAGTCCGATTGAGTGGGCCACCACTTTCAGCGAGCAAGAACCCGATAAGCTTAGAATCTCAAAATGGCCCTGAGGAAAGTAACGAACCACAGAAATTTCCTTCTGGCAGAGGTAAAATAATGTTTTTGAACAAGAATGCCCAGCCAAAATGTGCGCGAAGAACTACTGATTCCAGACTTCTAAAGAATGTAAAATAAAAAATTAAACTCTGTCAATGCATTAGAGAACATTCAATTGATAACCATGACAACCTTTTAGTTCACCAGGATTTCTTACAAAATCTTAATCAGCAAGTCACTATGTTCTGCGACCATCCATTTTGTTTCCAATGTTTATCTGTTTGCTTGAACTTTTATACATAATTGTTCGTCATATTCATGTGATTTCATAGCTTACACATTTAAGATCTTTAATGAAGCATGAAAAGAAAGGAGAGATGATAATGAACTTTAGTTCACCGACCTCACTAATGTGTGTAGTTAGGAGGGAAACCTTTTTGTGTATTGATTTGGTTGAAAAATACAAGTACAAGTATATACAGGATGAAAAAGGAAAGGAAAGGGAAATTGCACTATAGTCCCTAATAATTAACAAAAGCTACAAGTTGGTCCCTAACTAAGATTAATATATATTTCAACTCTCCCCCTCAAGTTGGTGCATAGATATCTCGCATGCCCAACTTGGATGTCATTGTATAGAATGGACCACTAGCAACTCCATGTGTCATTATATCAGCCAGTTGTTCCGCCCTCTTGATGTATGAAACCTCTATATTTCTGGAGTCGAGATTATCTTTGATGTAGTTCCTATCAAGTTCAACATGTTTTGTTCTATCATGTTGCACAGGGTTGTTTGCAATTTTAATAGCAGCAGTGTTGTCACAGAAAAGTAACATAGGCTTGTCCGGACCAAACCCAAGTTCACTAAGAAGAAGTTTTAACCATGTAAGCTCGGTAGTTGCATGATGTAATGCTCGATATTCTGCCTCGGCACTGGATAGTGAGACCACATTCTGTTTCTTACTCCTCCAAGTCACAAGATTGCCTCCAACAAACGATACATATCCTGATGTAGATTTTCTGTCCAATCTCGATCCAGCAAAATCAGAATCTGTATAGCCCGTAATATCTAAATGCCCCATTTTTTAGTACAGAATGCCCTTGCCTGGAGAGGACTTCAAATATGCCAATATCCGATTAACTGCACTCATATGCTGCTCACTGGGATTATGCATGAATTGACTCACAACGCTAACTGCATATGACAAATCAGGTCTCGTGTGGGTTAGATAAATCAACTTCCC